GCTCAGCACGTAGACTGAAAACGTGGCTCTGAAGCGATTTGTTCGCCAAAAAAAGGTCCAATACGTCCAGCCAACACGCAACGTATTGACACGGACGATTTGAGCAAGGTACATGTTGTACTTTTGTTTGTACAAACAAAAACGTATCGAGACAACGAAGCTTCTGACAAGTCAGGGGCCCCCCTCTGCCCAACCCCTAGCCGTGCTCTGCTCGAAACTGGTTCCCACAACTCTTCAATGTGACCCTCTTGGCCCACTGCTCAGCCGCATCCAGACGAGGTGACTGGGGGGGAGCGGCAGGACGGAAACCGAGAGAGCTGGGAGAGTCCACTTTGGATGAGCCGCACAACGTGGGCGTATTCAGTGCCGCCCCTTCCGCGCCCCGAAGAGGAGGAGGAATGAGGACGGAGCTGACAGAGGCATCATCAGGAGGAGGAGGAGGAGAAGCAGAAGGAGAAAGACGAGGAGGAGGAGTGAGAGGAGGAGGAGGAGGAGGAGGAGGAGGAGGAGGAGGAGGAGGAGGAGGAGGAGGAGGAGGAGGAGGAGGAGGAGGAGGAGGAGGAGCGAGGAGAGAGAGGATGCAGGAGCCACCATTTCGCGCGCCGCCGATCGCCTCACCAGGCACAGCGCCGGCGCGCGCGCGGGGGGCCACGCGTGCCGCCGCGGGCGCGCCGGCGGTGCGCCCGGCGCCAGGACGCACCCGGCGGAGGAGGCGGAAACCGGAGGAGCAAGAGCTAAACGGGCGGAGAACGGCAGAACACAAACTTGTTCGCCGTCGGGGGCGCCTGCCCCAGGGCGGCTGGACAGTCTATACCCTTACGGTGGCACCGTAGGGGTATAAACTTTCCAGCCGCCCAGGGGCAGGTGTCCCCGACGGCGAACAAAGTTTATTTTATACCGTTCTTCGCCCGCTGAAGAGCAGCCGTGCGAGTCAACTAGTCATGCTGCCTCGGTGGCTAAAAAAAATCCACAGTGCCGCTCGCGCGACCCAGGCCCAGGCACCCCCCTCTGCCGCATGCCTGCAGAGAGAACTGAAGCGCATCGGGATGGGGCGGATGCGGCGGCGCGTCATTAGTCCTGTGTTCCCTCCCAAAGAGCGCTGAACGCGGCTGCCTGCGTCCGAGGACGCGCCGCCAGTGAGGGAAGGAACAACTGCACACGCATTCACTGTCAGAACTCCGCGCTCGGACGTCTTGGATTGGCGCTGGCCCCCCTGGTCCAGTCCCGATCCAAGCAATCCGCTCGGAGTTCTGAGAGTGTGCGCTCACGTAATTGTTCTTCGGCTCAGATCGGGGAGCCGGCAGTTGAGCAGGGACCGACCGTCCAGGAATTTCTATAAGCCTACCACGTCTGCGAACCCAAAAAGTGCCCTTAGCACAAAAACAATGGTCTTAGAACAGAAACCCGATGTGCTAAAACAAGACAGCCTAGGCCAGAAATGCTCCAGGAACAGTTCGCGCAGACCACGACAAGGTTCTTAGAACACTCTTTGGTGGGCCGATCGGCGAGCCAGGACGCTTCGCCACTGCTTGAGGCAGGTGGGTGCAGCGGTCAGGAGAGACGACGACGGTCGGGGGCGCACAAACATGGACTAGCGATCCATGGATGTGGCGCGCGGTCGCCAAATCCATGGATCGGGGGAGGCGCCCTCCTCCAAAAAAGCGGCCGGTGCCGCCTCGCTCGTCGGCGGACATCCGCACTTTTTCCCACGGAAGCGGAGCCCGTCGCCAGTCCGCGCCCCCTTGATCCCTGTCTGCGATCGCCGGACCCAGACCCCCGACGTAATGATCTTTTCGTTACGTCGACCCCCGGAGGTCCTGACCCTCCTTTCCCCACGACCGGCTCTGCATCCCGAGTCGTTTCTTGACGCTCCCGAGGCCCCGTGGGGGGCCCCCAGAGGCCAAAGATTGGGGAAGACCTCCCGTCGTGTTTTTGTCACTGCTCGAGGGGGTCTGGTCGGGGGTTGCTAGAGGCACCCCTGGCCCAAGGTGCCCCCAGCTTTTCGCTTCATCTTGGAGGCCCTGGGGCCCTCTGGGCCTCGCGAGGGGTGCTCTGGAGCCCGTGGGGGCCCCCTTGGAAATCCTGGGGGCACCTTGGGCCAGGGGCACTTCTGGCAACACCCGATGGGGAGGCCGAGGGGGAGGCCCGGCTCGCGGCGGCAGCACCGGCCTCGAAGAGTCGGCGGTGGGGCGAGGGCGGGGCAGGAGGGCCCAGGCCCCGACCGGCGAGGCGCGGGCGGTGGGGAGCTCGACGCCCTCCTCCTCCTCCCCCTCCTCCTCCTCCTCCTCCTCCTCCTCCTCCTCCTCCTCCTTCTCCCCTTCCTCCTCCTCCCCCTCCTCCCCCTCCTCCCCCCCCCCTCCTCCTCCCCCTCTTCCTCCTCCGCCCGAGGTCACCCCCCCCCTGACCAATGAGATCGGAGCCCCCCTCCCTCGACGCCCCCCCCCTCTCAGCAATGAGATCGGAGCCCCCCTCCCTTGAGAGCAAGTTTGAAGGGGCCCTGGGACACACAAATAAACAGACACAACTAACAGGACTCCCCATATGTTCCTATATGTTCTGGATTTCTGTTTCCCCCCCCACTTCCAATATTTCCCCATATTTTCCTCGGGATCGACGAGTACTTGTGTCTGTGTGTTTTTCCCCTCCTGAAAATTGGAGCTCCTTGGCAATCACGCAGACGACCCGCAGAGTAAAAGGATAGGCGTCCCTCCCAAGGGTGTGCCCTTGCATCCTTGCCTCATGGGTCCATCCTTGGACACTTTCGTTGGCCGCGCCCCGCTTGAGACGCTTCGAAATGGGCGTCCGAGGCCCTTGCATCCTTATCGCGCATCCTTGCTATCCGGGTTGATTATACGCCTCGATCGATCTGCACCCTCGCGCGGGGCACGCCTGCAGCGGCCCTGCGCAGACCGCGCACGGCGCTGCAGTCTGCGAGCGCGCGGCGTGGAGTTTCCGACTCTTTCCGCGCGGCTCACTCACCGATTACGTCTTTGCCCCCTCCAAGGTTGAGATCACTACCATTGTGGCCGCGAGCCGTACCGCATCTAGTTGAAGACTGACTTTTCCAGAAAAGAGCATGTATCAAACAGAGCATAACATGTTTCTGCCGAGTAATCACGGGCACACTTCTGGGTGGTGGTCCTTCCCCTCATCTGCCCTCGACCCCCGCTGTGCCCAAGCCCGCTGCCGACATGCCCCGCCGCTGAGCCGACCGCCTGCTGCACCCGGCTCGCCGCCGCCTCGAACAGTGCGGCGCGTCGATGGCATGTTCGGGGCATCGATGGCGTGCTTGTAAAACAGGGCTAGGATCGGGATAAATCGCTCCAGAGCGTTCCGGAGCGCTCTCAGAGCGTTCCGGAACGCTCTGGAGCGGCCGCGGCGCCCAATACATCCTCCAAACCCGTCGATTCTCAGAGATTTCGAGTTATCCCGATCCGATTTTGTCCCGATCTTCGCGTCGTTTTAGCTTGGGGGGGGGGGGGGGGCATCTGGCGTTCCGCGCGGAGCGGCTGCGGCGCACAGGGGAGAGCTCTCGTGGGGGGCCCTCGCGGGCGAAGCTCGGCCAGTCTGCGCCCGGCCAACCCGACCTCGGCCAGGCTGAGCTCGGCCCCGGCCGAGTGGAGCCTGGCCGAGCTCGGCCTGGCCGAGTTCTGTCCGCTGCCGATGAGGCCCCAGAGGCCCCACCTCCTCCTGCTCCCGATTCCTCTCCTCCTCCCCCTCCTCCTCCTCCTCCTCCTCCTCCTCCTCCCTCTTCCTCCTCCTCCTCCTCCTCCTCTTCATCCTCCTCCTCCTCCTCCTCCTCCTCCTCCTCCTCCTCCTCCTCCTCCTCCTCCTCATAGTCTCCTCCTCCTCCCCCTCCTCCTCCCCCTCCTCGATGTCGGCCGAGTCGTTGGAGCCTGTCGGCCCTGAGCGCCCGCGGCGGACTCGCCGCTGCGTCGGCGGGGCGCGAACCCGCGCGCGCCTGGCACGGGAATGCCTCGCGCTGCGTCGGCGCTCGGCCTCCAGCAGCGCGTGGGCGCTCGGGCCTCCAGAGTGGGGGAGGAGAGAGGAGAGGGGGGGGGATGAAAGGAGAGGAGAGAGGAGGAGAGAGGAGAGGGGGAGGAGAGAGGAGAGGGGAGGAGAGAGGAGAGGGGAGGAGAGAGGAGAGGGGGAATGAAAGGGCCCTGGGACACACCAATACATAGACACGAGTAACAGGATTCCCCCTCATATGTTCGAGCATTTGTTTCTAAGTTTCTGTTTTCCCCCACTTCCCGTATGTTCGCATATGTTCCTGGGAGTCGACGATTGAGTGTGTCTGTGTGTCCTCCTGAGACAAGCTAGGTGCGCTCGCGTCATGTCCGACGTCCTACCCCTCCCTCCCATCCCGTACCATGGAGTAGATCGCCTCTCTATCCGCACAATCGGATGCCGCCGCATGGCGTGGCATCACATGGCATAGCATGGTGTCGAAGATCAACGCGTAGCATGACATAGCATGGCGTGGCGACGCCCCAAAGGAGGGGGGGGGGGCTTCTGCGGCCCACGAAGTCAACGAATCGGCACCGAATGTGTAATCACTTTCGATGGTTTCTTCGGGAGGCCATTTTCTAGATTTTGGGGCCTACTTGGAAGGACCGAAAACCATGCCGGGGCATGGCGCTGGAAATAATGACGCCAACGCTGCATCGGGAGCACGATTCGGAACTAGCGGAAGCGCGGAAATGAGGCCAGCGTTGCAGCGGGAGCACGATTCGGAACGAGCGGTAACCCGAACATTAGGCCAGCGCTTCAGCGAGAGCAGCAATTTGAAAACACACCCAAGCGATGGCCCAACTCCCGGGAATCCTGTGCAAAAAACCAGTGCGCGGAGGGATGCCAGCCATTCCCTGGACGCCACCGTGGGAGAGAGGAGAGAGGTATTCAAAGCGTGTACTTGCACAGGGAGGAAAAGGATGGAAGGAGCAGGCAGAGAGGAGGGGGGAAAGCAAGAAGGACGGAGGGAGCCCCGAGCAGCGCGCTCAGTTGGTCCGCTGCCGCTTGCAGCGGGGCTCGGCCTCCACCTGCTCGCAGACGGCGCCGACGAGCCGCCCTCCGGCATCGAACTGCAGCTCCGTGATGGCGCGCCCGCCCTCGGCCTCGAACTTCTCTGGAGTGGCCCGCTGCCTGGCCTTCCTGCCGGAGCCGTACCTCGGGAGGGATAGGGAGTATTCATTCCCCCGCAGATGCCGATAATATGATAGCGAAGGGGCGCGGGCGGTCTGCGGCACGGGCGGGTCTAGATCCACTCGCGCCGCGACCCACCCGCGTGCCACCCCCTGCCGCGACTCACCCGCGCCGCGACACACCCGCGACGCCCCGACCCCCGCCGCGACCCACCAACGCCGACGACGACACGAACAAGCGCAGCGACGACAACAGCAACAACAACGACAACAACAGCAACAACAACAACAGCAACAACAACAACAACCACAACAACAACAGCAACGACAACAGCAGCAGCAACAACAACAGCAACACAAGCAACAACAACAGGCATTGCAAGACGGTTCGCTTACAGATGCTCTTTTAGACTACGCGGCGACACGCTACGGTACAATCGTCTTCAGAGTGAGAAGAGGGTTAGTGCGTAATACCCTCAGATCGGGATAACTACCCCCATATGCTCGCGTGTCGTTCAACATGTACTTCCCAAGCTCGATACCCGCCCCATTCGTCTTTGATGGTGTCCCTTTTGGGGAGTACGTGGATGCTCCTTCCCCGCCACGTGTAATTGGCACAGCCCTTCCAGTAGAAAGAACATAAATACTGGCAAAGGGAGAGGACGAGGAAGAAGGGAGTGGAGGAAGAAAGGGAGGAGCGAGGGAGAATAGGCAGCAGGGAGGAGATGGAGGACAAGATGGGGAGAGGGATTCGCAGGAGGAGATGGCAAAAGGACGCCTCAGGCGAGCGCGCGGCTCCTGTGCGAAAGGTGATGGAGTCCAAAGCGAGGGCGCGATTCCAGAGCGCCGAGAGATCGTCTCGTGAACATACAGTCGGGGCGTTGACCTGAGGAACCCCAAATAAGGACCGAGGCCCCTTTTTCCCTACATAGGCTCTGCCTAGAAGGGTTCTTACTCTCTTAGCTTAAAGGGCCGGGCAGTGCACAGCGCCCCGGGCGGTTCCCCCAGTCCCCGCCCCGCGGTTCCCCCAGTCCCCTGAGAGCTTTAGCTTTAGCTTTAGCTTTAGCTTAGCTTTAGCTTAGCTGTAGTTTAGCTTCAGCGTAGCTTTAGCGTAGCTTTAGCTTAGCTTCAGCTTAGCTTCAGCTTAGCTTTAGCTTAGCTGTAGCTTAGTTTCAGCTTGGCTTTAGCTTAGCGGCACCTTAGCGTTAGCTTAGCTTTAGCTTAGCTTTAGCTTTAGCTTTAGCTTAGCTGTAGCTTAGATTCAGCTTAGCTTCAGCTTAGCTTCAGCTTAGCTTCAGCTTAGCTTTAGCTTAGCTGTACCTTAGCTGTACCTTAGCTTTAGCTTAGCTTTAGCTTGGCCTTCGCTTGGCTTCAGCTTGGCTTTTGCTGAGCTGCACCTTAGCTTTAGCTTAGCTTTAGCTTAGGTTTAGCTTAGCTTTAGCTTAGCCTTTACCGTAGCGTTAGCTTAGCTTCAGCTTAGCTTTAGCTTAGCCGTTACCGTAGCTTTAGCTTAGCTTTAGCTTAGCTTTAGCTTAGCTTTAGCTGATCTGCACCTTAGCTTTAGCTCAGGTTTAGCTTAGCGGTAGCTTAGCCTTAGCTTAACCTTAGCTTAGCTTTAGCTTAGCTTTAGCTTAGCTTTAGCTTAGCTTTAGCGTAACTTAATCTTAGCTTTAGCTTACCTTGAGCTTAGCTTAGCTTAGCTTTAGCTTAGCTTTAGCTTAGCTTTAGCTTAGCTTTAGTTTAGTTTTAAATTAGCTTTAGCTTAGCTTTAGCTTTACTTTTCGTACTAATGCTGCTTTCCTAGGGGCTCCAACTCCTATGTAGGGTCGCACTGGGATACTTTCCATAACTTAACCTTCGATTTCCTGTCGAAAACCTCAGGGAAACCTGAGGCAAGCTGTGAAACACTTAAGGAACGCGGAACCCCTCCCAAACGAAAAAGGGTTCCTTCTTCAGGACCCCGACTGTATGCAAGGACGCCACAGGGGAGAGCGCGATCCCTGGATATGGTATCAGACAGTTTTTTTTAGCGGGAGCGCAATCCTTCAATCTCTCAACACGGACCCCACAGCTTCTCCTTGCGAGGCGAATGCTGAATGTAAGCCCCAAAGACAAGGAACGCATACAGGGCACTGCGCCCTGTAACGCACCAGCGCCACGCTCTAAATGACGAAGCAGCGCCACGCGCCGTGTTGGCACGCGTCATGTGAGTCGCTGCGCAGTTCGCAGCCCCCGAGGGAGCAGCGAGGTCTCAAATGATCAGAATCGCCCTGCACCTAACAGTGCCTCCCACATGCCAGCGAAAATGGCGACCGTGGCGCAACTCGCAGCCCTCGAGGGAACCGCGGAGACTCCAAAGATCTGCGCTGCCCTGCACTCCGACGTGCCTCCCAAGAACCCACGGCAATGACGACCGTGGCGCAGTTTGCAGCCCCCGAGGGGGCCGCGAGGTATCAAATGATCTGTGTTGCCCTGCACTCCACTGTGCATCCCAGGAGCCAACGGAAGTGACAACCGTTGCTCAGTTCGCAGCCCCCGAGGGAGCCGCGAGGTCTCAAATGATCTGCGCTGCCATGCACTCTGCCGTGTGTCCGAGGAACCCACGATCGCGGCGACTGTTGCGCAGCTCGCAGCCCCCGCGGGGGCCGCGAAATCTAGAACGATCTGCGCTGCCACCCGCACTCCGCCGTGCCTCCCAGGGGCCCCCGAAAATAGCGACCGTTGCCCCCGAGGGAGCCGCCAGGTTTGAATGATCTGCGATGCGCTGCGCCCCGCCGTGCCGCCCAGGAGCCGACGACAATGGCGACTGATGCGCAATTCGGATGCCCGCACATCCACCGCGCCTCCCAGGAACCCACGCAAATGACGGCCGTTGCGCGGCTCGCAACTCGCAACCCCCGAGGGAGCCGCAAGGTCTCAAATGATCCGAGTCGCCCTGCACTCCACCGTGCCTCCCAGGAGCCCACGAGAGTGGCGACCGTCGCCCCCGAGGGAGCCGCATGGTTTCGATGATCTGCACTGCCCTGCACGCCGCCGTGCCCCCTGGGAGCCCACGAACGTGGCGACGAGTGCGCAGTTTCTCCCCCCCCCTCCCATGGGAGAGGTACGCGCAAGGGAGGCAAGGATGCAGGGGAGAAAGGAGGAGGAGGAGGAGGAGGAGGAGGAGGGCAAGGGCACCCTTGGAAGCCACAGCGCTCTATGCAAAGCGAGATCCCAACGCACAGGAGGGACGCAAAACACATTGAGGGGCAGCATCAGGCGGGAGACGCTGTTGTTGTAAGCCGAGGGCCAGGGACACGATTTGGAGAGCCAAGACGTTCCCTTGTGAAAAAGGTTCGAGCACCGGGAATACAATTTCACACGAATGAAACATTTCCCTTGGCATCAAAGGGGGTACCAACAAGACTTGTCTGTTGCATTAAAAACAATCCGCGAATAACACTGTGATCCAGCGGGCGAATTCGATGTTCATGCAATTCTCCGTCTCCCTCGCACCCGCTCACTAAGTCTATGAACGCAGCCCGTCCACTGAGTAAGCCCCGACGTGGTAAAACGCTCATGTCGCGTAGGCATAACCTCGCGGCGACCGTGGAGCCAGGAAAAGGCAGGCTCAGGCGGGGCCACAGGGGGCACGATTCGGGAATACATTGCAAGGAGGTGCTGGGCGAGAGCCTGGGTCCTGAATACATTGTGAGATAGTATAAGGCGGGAGCCGTTGTGGTTGCAGCCTCGCCTTCAGGCGCACAGCGTGTTTTTTGCATAAACAACTGTCACGACGCAGAGGTAAAGGGTGGGGCGTCTCGGGAGGGAGCAGGCTCCTGATTAGATCGCGAGAAAGTCTCTGGCGGAAGACGTTGTTGCTGCAGCCGGGCCGTCAACGGGCTCACAGAAGTAGTCAGGGAAGAAGTCCCAGGCGAGAGCGCGAGTCCCTGGTACATCGCGAGGGGATATCGAGCGGCAGCGGGGAACCTGAATAAATTGCGAGGGGAAATCAGGTGGGAGCCGTTGTCGTTGTCGGCGGGCCTTCAACAGCAATCGTTTGGACGGAAGCCCGCGCTAGAGCTTGAGCCTCGGATTGACAAACAACGTCGCCTGCGCTCGAACGAGAGCGCTCCGCCAATCTTCCACACATCAAGGCTGACCAAAGATCCTGTCACGAGTTGTCAGCAACGACAAGCCGCACCGCGGTACACCCCTGCAGCCACGAACCAAGGAGTGTGCGAGACCGCTCGGGCCCCTCACTGTGATCAATGGGCGTCATAATGGAGGCCAGTCCACAAGAGACCCTCCACAAGAAACCCAACCCTGAGACCCCAGGACGCCCATTGGCTGTGGATGCGGGAGCGTCGCGCTTTCCACAGCAGAGCCCTCGAGAGCCAGGGCGCCCTGGAGGCGAGCAGGGCGTTTCTTGGCAGGGGCCTCCACTGTACGCAGCGTGCTGCACCTTCGTCTTTGCCCGAAAGCCTGGTGCCCCTTCGGCAGTCACACGCCGACGGGGTCCCCCATGGCGGCGTACCCTTTGATTTATCGTGTTTGCTCCCAGAGTGCCCGTTGAGCTCGATGCGGCGGCCGCGCGAGGTGACGAAGTGAAGGGCGGCCCCCAGGAAGCCGCCCTGGCCGGGGAACTGCTCCACTTGCTGCAGGTGCTCGCCTGGGGTCGGCCCAAAGGGCGGGGGGGGGGGAGCACAGAAGGGAGGAGGAGGAGGAGGAGGAGGAGGAGGAGGGGGAGGAGGAGGAGGAGGAGGAGCAGGAGGAGGAGGAAGAGGAGAGGAGGAGGAGGAGGAGGAGGGGGCTGGCGCCAATGCAGATAGAGGGAGGCGCCGGGCGGCGGGGCCGAGGCCAGCTGCCTGCACGCAGATGTCGTACCGCCCCCCTTGTGTCCGCTGTTGTTGATGGGTCCATTTGCCACCACCACTACCATCGGAGAGGGAGGAGGAGGAGGAGGAGGAGGAGGAGGAGGAGGAGGAGGAGGAGGAGGAGGAGGAGGAGGAGGAGGAGGAGGAGGAGGAGGAGGAGGAGGAGGAGGAGAGGAGGAGGAGGCGGAGGAGGAGGAGGAGGGAGGAGGAGGAGGAGGAGGAGGAGGAGGAGGGGAAGGGGGAGGAGAGGAGGAGGAGGAGGAGGAGAGGAGGAGGAGGAGGAGGAGGAGGAGGAGGACCTCCTCATCCTCCCGTGGGTGCGCGCATCGCCATCAACGTGTATAAACTGTTGGCGTTCCGTGCGGACTTCTTGGAGCTGCGCTGGAACCCCCTGGCGCGCAGAGCGCGCCAGGGGCGGCGCCGGACGCGCCGCCAGGAGGGCCCAGCGCGGATCCAAGAAATCCGCGGGGAGACCCAAAAGTTTATGTTTATGGCGTTTTCTCTCCTTCGATGTGTCCCCCTTGGCCCGATCGCCTGGCTCCAGCCGCTCCACGCCCTTGCCGGCAGGGCAAGGTCCGGGCAGCCGCGCTTCTGGCCCCCGCTGGGGGGCCTATCGTGTCGTCGACCTCTCGAGAGGGGATGCCGAGGCCGATGCGCCCCCCAGGCGGGTGTCCATAGCAGGGCAAAAAGAGCGGCGCAGACATGAACCGCTGGGGGGCCTATCGCATCGTCGACCTCTCGAGAGGGGATGCCGAGGCCGACGTGCCCCCAAGGCGGGTGTTCATGGGAGGACAAAGGGAGCGGCGCAGACATGGATGCCCGGATGCCCACGCAGAATCCCACCAGCAGGGAACGGCGCAGACATGGACGCCCGGAGGCCCACGCAGAATCCCCCCAGCCTTCTGGGCGTAGGTGGTTTAGGGCGGTTCCTCTGCCAACCCCTTTTCATCCTCTTCTGGGAAGGGTCTATCACTGTTCCCTATTAATATACACTCTCTCCCCCAGGCGACCGGGAGCCAACCCAGGTCCATGAGAGCCCCCCCCCACCATCGTTTGTAAGAACAATACAAAACACACTCTGCCCCCACCATCCATGGTAAGATGCAATACAAAAAACACTCGGTTTCCAAATTCTGAGCATGCGCGGCGAACCCGATGCGGCCTCCCCCCACCGTCCGTCAAAAAACAATACTGAGTACTGTTGGCGGCGGCGGCGGCTGCGGCGGCTGCGGCGGGGGCAGCGGCTGCGGCGGCTGCGGCGGTGGCGGCGGCGGCGGCGGCGGCGGCAGCGGTGGCGGCAGCGACTGCGGCGGCAGCGGCTGCGGCGGCGGCGATTTGGCAGCGGGGGCGGCGGCGGCGGGCAGCGCAGCGGCGGCGGCAGGCGGACAGCGTTGGCGGCGGCGGCGCGGCGCGGCGCCGGCGGCGGCGGCGGGCGGCGGCGGCGGCGGCGGCGGCGGATGGCCCCCAGTAGCTGGCCATCCAAAGACAACTGCTGAATGTGCTGCGGTTCGGGTCAGGCTCGGGTGTTACGTATGTGTTGGGAGGGCGGGTGGGAATGAGCGAGACGGCTTGCGGGCGGGGAAGGCGTCTTGATCACTGTTCCCTATTAGTAAACACCCCCTCACCCAGGCGACTGGGGGACAACCAGGGTCCATGCCGACCCCCCCCACTATCACTGGTTAAAAAAACCATACAAACACACACGTTGCCTCCAAATTCGGAACATGCGCAGCCAACCCGATGCGGCCCCCCCCCACCATCCCTGTCAAAAAACAATACAGAGTACACTTGGCGGCGGCGGCGGCTGCGGCGGCGGCGGCGGCGGCGGCGGCGGCGGCGGGGGCGGCGGCGGCGGCGGGCGGGGGCGGCGGCGGCGGCGGCGGCGGCGGGCGGCGCGCGGTGGCGGCGGCGGCGGCGGCGGCGGTGGCGGCGGCAGCGGCTGCGGCTGCGGCTGCGGCGGCGGTTAAGCAGCGGGGGGCGGCGGCGGCGGCGGCGGCGGCGGCAGGCGGCAGGCGGCCAGGCGGCAGGCGGCAGGCGGCAGGCGGCGGCGGCGGCGGCGGCGGCGGCGGCGGCGCGGCGGCGGCGGCGGCGGCGGCGGATTGGCCTCCAGTAGCTGCCCATCCAAAGACGACTGCTGAATATGCTGAGCCTCGGGCCAGACTCGGGTGTTACGTATGTGTTGGGAGGGCGGGTGGGAGTGAGCGAAAGGCTTGCGAGCGGGGAGGGGGTAACTTGACCCCTCCCCCTACCCCCTCCCCTGGACTTGGACGGGGGGGGCCGCGAGGTGTCGGAGCGTCCAAAACGGTTCGGCGAGGAAGCGAAAATCACTGGTTTTACTAAGGTTTTGGCCCCATGTTGACCTCCAGGGGGGGCGAGGCTAACTCAGGAACCCCCTTTCTTTGATCGATGTCCTCCAAGATGGCCCCAAGAGGCGTCCAGGAAGCCCCAAGAGGCCCCCCAAAGGCCCCAAGATGGCTCCAAGATGGCCCCAAGAGGCCCCCAGGATGTCCCCAGGACGCCCCCAAGAGGACCCCAAGCGGCCCCAGGAGGCCCCCCCGAGGCACCCAAGACGCCCAAAACCCCCCAGGACCGCCGGGAGACCCCCACGACGTCCCAAGAGGCCTCCAAGAAACGCCCAGGAGGTATGCCAAGAGGTGCCGGGAGGCATCCAAGAGATCTCTGGCCCTTTTTCTCGCCCTCCTGTTCCTGCTCCTCCTTCCTCCTTCCTCCTCCTCCTCCTCCTCCTCTTCCTCCTCCTCCTCCTCCTCCTCCTCCTCTTCCTCCTCCTCTCAGTATCCTATCAATACTCCTTCTCCCCACTCCCTCGTCCATCCATTCAGCCTCCTCCTTCTCCTCATCCCTCCTTCGCACGGTTCGGCCGTACACCTCTTTGACCCCGCACTTCCCTGATCACCTCAACTCGCCTGGACATCGTTTCTGAATGGGCTGATGGGGATGCGCTTTTGATCGCGAGCGCAAGCGGAAAGGCCGCGCGCCGTCCAGAGCTGCCACTAACCAGGAATATTGTTCGTCGCGACCGCAGGCGAAGGCGCCAGCGGCGAGTCAGGTCCGAGCGGGCCGCGCAAGAGCCGACTAACTAGGGATACTTTTTTAGTCTGCGGCCGCAGGCGAGAGCGTCAGCGGCGAGTTCAGTCAGAGCGGGCCGCGCAAAAAAGACAAATTAAACCTAAAGCGGTGACTAACCAGGGATGCTTTTTAGTCAGCGGCCGCGGGCGAGCGCGCCAGCGGCGAGTCAGGCCAAAGCGGGCTACACAGAGACAACTTAGGCAGAGGCGACGCGCAAGGCAACAGCTACGCGGCAAGCCGAGGCCTCACGCAGCGGCCCAGCGGCAGGGGATGGCAGGAGGAACTGAAACTGAGTGGGGAACTGACCTTCTGTCGGGCGTGTCCCCCTACAGGGGGATTTTCGACGAAAAAAACACAAGTACCCCTAAATGGTTTAAAACATACTCATAAGATAGTCCCCCGACTATTTTCGGAGCATTGTTAAATTATTTTTGGGGAGTGGTTCATTTTTCGCCGAAAATCCCCCCTTTGGGGGACAGGCCCGACCTAAAACGAACCAGGGATACGCGAAGGCGCCTAGCAGTTCCTGGGAGCGCGCTAGGCGGCGAGGGCCCAGCGCTGGCCCGGGAAGTCCGCGCGGGCCCCCGCGGGCTCCTTGCTCTGTGTGCCGGCTCCGCTCGGCCCAGCTGTAAGTCGGGGGCGTGTCCCCCTACAGGGAGATCTTGGGCGAAAATTTCAAAATAGCCAACAAAAATACCCAACATGGGCGAACATAATAAACAAAACAATCGTCCCCCGACTATTGTTTGACTATTTTTTGAATATTCCTCCTGTAGAGAGACAGGGGCCCGGCGAAAGCCGGGCTGCCCAGACATGCGGCGTCCAGTTTTTTTGTGTTGTTCAATGCTGGGTTCCCAGGTGTCATGACATGCGCTACGACTTGGTTGTTCTAACTGCCCAGGCCTGCGGTGTCCTGAGGGCCGAGTCTGCACCCCGAATTGTGTCGTTGACCCTCCTGGGGCCCCACGCGAGGGTGCCGGGAGTCTGGAGCCCGCCAAGAGCATTGCGTCTTGCTTCTGTCCCCGACGCGAGCACGTCTGGGTTCTCCCACAATCGGGCTGCTCAGCAAAAAGAGCGATACATAAGAAACGGGGCCCCTTTGTGCGAAGCTGGGCCGTGAGATCCGAAGGAACGGCCGAGCCTTGCGCCTCCTCCTCCTCCTCCTCCTCCTCCTCCTCCTCCTCCTCCTCCTCCCTTCTCCCTCCTCCTCCTCCCTTCTCCCTCCTCCTCCTCCTCCTCATCATCATCATCATCCTCCTCCTCCTCCTCCCCCTCCTCCTCTCGGGTCGCCCGGATCGGCAAAACGAACCCGCACGGGCGAACACTGAGGTGCAACGAGGGTGCTCGCCACTAAGAAAGGCAACGAGACGCCTGCAAAGCTACCGAGCCCCTGCCGACCTCGGCTTGGACTGAAGTCGGGCCTGTCCCCCTACAGGGAGATTTTGGACGACAAATAAAACATACCCAACAAGTACTCCAAAATGCTCAAACATGGTCCCCAAACATCGTCCCATGACTATGTTTGTTTGACTATTGCTGAACACTCCTCCTGGAGAGGGACGGGCCCGACTCAAGCCGAGCCCTTCCCGACCTCGGCCTGGACCTCATGCTCCCCTAGCGGACTGCCAGTGCGGAGCACAGCTCCTTCCGGCTCGGCCGCCCTGCCTTGTACTCGCCGCCGGAGCCTCCGTGCGCGCGGGTCGCGCCGTCGCCCAGCAGGAGCTCGACGCGGTCGACCATCCACGCGCCCCGCCAGCCTGGGCGGTCGATCCTCCTCGATCCTCCTCGATCCTCCTCCTCGATCCTTCTCGATCCTCCTCCTTCTCCCTCCTCCTCCTCCTCGATCCTCCTCCTCGATCCTCCTCCTCGACCCTCCTCGACCCTCCTCGATCCTTGGCCCGGGAGGCACAGAGGCAGGGGCACGGTCTTCCGAGAGGGCACCCCTGCCTCTCGGCGCCCCCCCCTGCCCCCTCCAGGACGAGAGCGATGCTACGGCAGGCTCGGCTCGAGATCCGACTCGGGGATCGTCTGAACCGGGTCAATCCAGACCCGGGTCAGCCAGGTCCTGCATAATCCTGCGCCAAAATCCAGGTCAACGCGAAGGATCCTGCAGGATCCTGCAGGATCCTGCACCCAAGCCCGGGTCAATGCGATCCTGGCCCTGCAGGATCTTGCAATATTGGGCGCTCTGGCTGACCCCTGTCTGCATTGACCCCGTTTCGTGAGCCCCGACCGACCCGCGCGACGTTTTTTTTCTGGGGGCGCGCAAATACTGAGTCGGGCCTGTTCCTCTACAGGAGGGACATTCCGAAATGGCCAACAAATAATATGGGAACGATTTTTTTAGTATTCTTGAATATCTTTCAATCTGATTCGGGTATGTCTAATTTTTCGTCCAAAACCCCTCTGAAGGGGGACAGGCCCGACCTAACGCAAACAGGGATCAGCGATCCATGGATGTTGCGCGCGGTCGCCAAATCCATGGATCTGGGGAGGTGCCCTCCCCAACATGCGGCCGCCGCCGCCTCGCTCGGCGGCGGAGATCCGCGATTTCCCTTGGAGACGGGACCCGTCGCTGATCCACGCCACCTCGAACCATGTTTGCGATCGCCTGACTGCCGCATCCGAAAATGTCGTTCGCGAGAACGCCCGCGACCGGTCCCGCACCCCCGCCCACCCCTCGTCGGGCCACGATGCGCGCAGGCGCCGTCTGGGAAGCCGGGGCCCCTCCAAGGCATCCCCACACCGCGCCGGCACGAGTCGGGACGTGACTGGACCCCCTCCCAGACACGACCGCGTCGTGAAACAATCAGGACGGCAAGTTTTTCGCCGTGTTCGGCCCCTGGAGGCCCTCGCCGAGCCCTCATGGGACCGTCAAAACACAACTCAGGACGAAGAACCGGTCCCGGGGAGAGGGTCGGGACTTCCATGCAGGGACGCCGTCCTGAAAAAGATCAGGACGTCGCACGACTGGGATCCCCTCCTCCCCGCCCTGGCCACGCCGTGGAGATCCCCTGGGGCTCCTGGCGCGCATCCGGGGCCCCAGCGCGTCTGCTCGCGCAGTGTCTTTCGGGCCCAACAGAGGCCCACAGCGGGCCAAGAGGGCCCCGATGGGCCCCCGAGGCGGCCCACGAGTCGCGGAACGATCGGGCCATCGCACGGTGGAGGGATGGGCCGACGGCCACTGGTGTAGGGTTGGCTCAAGATGCGCTGCAGGCTTTCCAGGAGCTGCTACAAAATCTAGCGGCCCTCGCTTCTGCTGTGAAACGCCAGGAATGGTAGCGGAAATTCCAGGAGACCGCGGGAGTCTTCGGACGCGTCATTCTCATGACCTCTTGCTCCCCTGACCCCTGAGGAGGACTCCCCTCTCCTCTCGGGTGGGGTCCGCGAGGAGGGCAGAGGCCTGCTGAAAAGCCCCCTCTGCCCTCTCCTGACATCCGACGGCCTGCTTTTTCTTCAAAGCGCAGCCCCAAGAGGTCCCGACCGCTTCCCCGGGGGTCGTTGTTCTTCCCGGGATCCCTGCTTGATGGCCCCAGGGTTAGGTCAGGCATGTCCCCCTACAGGCGGACTCGGGACTGACAGAATAGCCAAAAAATATGCCAAGATATCGAAAAGTAATCAAAAACAAACACATTCCAAGACTTTTTTCTATGTTTAAAATTTCTCCTGTAGAGGGACAGGCCCGACTGAACCCTGGGGCCCAAGAGCCCGCCCTCGAGGCCGCAGTCGAAGTGCCACGCCAGGATCGAGCAAGACACAGGCCGCTTCCGAGGAGCCGCCCTCCCAGCCGGACCTCCCTTCAGGGCGAAGAAAGAGCACCAGGATCTCGACTTCTGAAGTCCAGTCGAGTTTCTACGCCGTCTGGATGGGCCTGAAGCTCTGGAGGGCTTGTTTGTAGCACTTCAGGGCGAAGAAAGAGCACCAGGATCTCGACTTCTGAAGTCCAGTCGAGTTTCTACGCCGTCTGGATGGGCCTGAAGCTCTGGAGGGCTTGTTTGTAGCACTTCAGGGCGAAGAAAGAGCACCAGGATCTCGACTTCTGAAGTCCAGTCGAGTTTCTACGCCGTCTGGATGGGCCTGAAGCTCTGGAGGGCTTGTTTGTAGCACTTCAGGGCGAAGAAAGAGCACCAGGATCTCGACTTCTGAAGTCCAGTCGAGTTTCTACGCCGTCTGGATGGGCCTGAAGCTCTGGAGGGCTTGTTTGTAGCACTTCAGGGCGAAGAAAGAGCACCAGGATCTCGACTTCTGAAGTCCAGTCGAGTTTCTACGCCGTCTGGATGGGCCTGAAGCTCTGGAGGGCTTGTTTGGTTTTTCTCCATGGGCGAAGAAGAGCACCAGGATCTCGACTTCTGAAGTCCAGTCGAGTTTCTACGCCGTCAGGATGGGCCTGTAGCTCTGGAGGGCTTTTTGGTAGCACTCCAGGGCGAAGAAAGAGCACCAGGATCTCGACTTCTGAAGTCCAGTCGAGTTTCTACGCCGTCTGGATGGGCCAGTAGCTCTGGAGGGCTTTTTGGTAGCACTCCAGGGCGAAGAAAGAGCACCAGGATCTCGACTTCTGAAGTCCAGTCGAGTTTCTACGCCGTCTGGATGGGCCTGT